GAAAATTAGTGAATATTGTGTGGGGGAGAAAGGTAAAATAAAGTGCATTCCAAGCAAAATGGAAGAAAAAATGTTTTTATTTCCCTTGTTCACTCAATGTAGTGACATAATAATCCAATGATGCATGGTTGAATAAAGACAAAAGGGAGTTTGAGCTCAAGGCGAATGTTATTTGGAGACTTACAAACCATGGAACAATTATTCAGTTATTTGGATGTAGTGTTTATCAGTCACTGCTGAACCATTTTCTTGGAGACTTGATGTTGCAGTCAATTTGTGAAATGTACTTTCATCACATCAACAATATGTTGAAAATTTTCCCTCTCTGATACTTGCAATCGTTCACCCAGTATGAGGTGTTCATTACTTGTTGCTGACCACTAGTTCCCTCTGCTGCTCGTGGTAAAATAAAAAGTATGCAATTTCGAAAGGCTCCAAAAAGATGCATAGATAGGTTAAATGAGTGGACAACTATGTGGTAATTGGAGTATAATGTGTGAAAAGTGAAGTTCATTTTGGCAGGAAGGATAAAAATGAAGCATATTGAGTAAGAACTATGAGGTGCAGAGAGATCTGAGTGTTCTCATGCATGAATCACAAAGGTTATTATGCATGTTCAGTAATTAACTAGAAAAGCTGACAGAATGCTATCATTTATCAGGAGGGGAACTGAATACAAAAATAGAGAGGTTATGCTTCAGTAATACAGGGTGCTTGTGAGAGCGTATCTTAAGTGATGTGCACAGTACTGATGTTGTTATTTAAGGAATGGTGTAAATGCATTGGAGGCAGTTCATAGAAGGTTTACCGGATTAAGCTATTAGATCAGTTTCTCTTCTGTCCTGGTTTTCTATCAACAATCCCCCTGTCTGCCTACCCCTTATAAATCTCTCCCTATCTACACACCACCACTCCAAACCCCACTCCCTTGCATTTTCAGCATAAATACCACATTTTCCTAGCCGCTATCAGTTGTGACGAAGAGACACCGGACCCGAAACATTAACTCTGCTTTCTCTCCACAGATGATGTCAGACCTGTTGAGTTTCTCCAGTATTTTCAGTTTTTGTTTCAGATCTCCATCATCCACAGTTACTTGTTTTAATTTACTAATTTACCGATACCTGTAATGAGTGTTATTTTATGAGGAACGAATGGACAGGCTAGGCTTGTACCTGGAGTTTGCAAGAGTATGAGATGACTTGACTAAAACATATTCTGAGGGGCATTAACATGGTAGGTGTGGAGAGGATGATACCTCTAATGGGAGAATCTATGGTAACCATATGGAGGTGCTGGTCTTGGACTGGGGTGGACGAAGTCAGAAGTCACATGACACCAGGTTATAGTCCAACAGGTTTATTTGAAGTCACAAGCTTTCAGAGCACTGTTCCTTGGTCAAAGGAGCGGTGTTATGAAAGCTTGTGATTTCAAATAAACTTGTTGGACTATAACCTGGTGTCATGTGATTTCTGACCATGGGAGAATCTAGAACTAGGGATCACTGTTTTAAAAATAATGGACTACCCATTTAAGTCAGAGATTTTGCATAATAAATTCTCTCAAAGACTAATGAATCTTTGGGATATTCCGCCTGAAAAAATGATGGAAGCAGAGTCCTTGAATAAGTTTAAATGCAAAAATAGACAGATTCTTGTTAGGCAAGGGGAGAAAGG